TAAAATATTAGATGTATAAATACAGACAGCGAAACTAGACAGCATCGTCTAAATGCTATTCCACCCGGTTTTTCTGTTTTAATCGGCTGTGGACACAGCGGTTGTTTCTCCCACCTGTATATCACACACGCCCCGCCTCTTGAGCCAGGATTGGCTAGTAGGCTAGAAAGGCGGTCAACTATTGGACAGTTTAGAAGTCGTTCATATTAAAGTAGCTAGCGTAGCAAATAACGATTAGGAGAAGGCGGGACGTGAGTGGAAAAACCTTCAGAATTATGAATTATGTGGTGACATCTTTTTATTTTCCCATAGGCCACTCTACCCTGCTGACCCCTCATGGTCCTGTAAAATTTATCTAGTCCAACTCTACTGGGAAATTAACATTATGAAACCAGTTTAAAATGAATAAGTGTCCATTTATACATCTGGACATCAGGTTTCGTTAACATAAGACAATGCTACTATTGGATTGGCTGCATAGTAAGTCTTTCTACATGCATCAGGTTTGTATGTATGTTCAAACACTGTACCAAGTTCCCAAAAATAACTCTACAACACAGGCTATATGTAACAGCAATGGCATCCAGGAGAATTATGGGTAAAATGATCTCAAAGTCAGGAAGGGTCCTATAAAACTCCCCTTTAACCCTAAAATATATAGCTCACTTTTCCCTCCTAGAATGCATATGTAGATCAAAAAAGACAGAAGGAATTAGATGCAAGTTCTTTATAAAGCTATTTGCTTATATTTTAATTTAATATCTTGTTTGTGTGTGTGTAAAGCAGATAGTTTGAGGACAAATATGACTGTTATTTTGAATAATAAATATAAATAATTTATTGTACTAAATAATAATTTATGATATTTAAAAAATATATTATTTTATATATGTATAGATGCTATTTATATAATAAACATTATGTGTGAATATGACAGATACTTCATGTAATATAATAATTAATTGTATTTAATAATCATTACATTAAATATAATTATATATATATATATATATTAAATTAGTATAATAAATAGAATATAAAATATAGAATGTGTATAAAATCATACACAAAAATAAATAAACACACAAACACATTTTTATTTATTTAGTTAGATTTTTTAAACAGGACAGATATTCATAGCTATTTATTATATTCATGTAATAATTTATTGTACTAAATAATAACTTATTAAAACAAAATTTATTCTTGCATTTGATATATTAAATACAATAATAAAATGGTTTTATTTAATATAATAAACTATTATGTCTGGTTGTGTGTGTGTGTGTGTGTATACATATACACACATAATAGTTTAATATATTAACTAAAGCTAGTTTTTACTATTCAAAAGTTTATTTAATTTAATATAATATTTTTTATCTTTAAGTGGTTTATCTTTGATTTATGGTTAGACTGTAGTAATAATTAGCTTCATATATCACCAAGAGAAGTTTCAGGTATGTCCCTGTGTATGTAAATCAGTGGTTCGTATCAGATAGACCTAAGGATAAACTCAATTAAGATGAGAAGACCACTTTATGTAAAATAAAATGTACCAAAAAATTGTGCACCCAGCTAACTTTGATGCATACAGCAGCTTGTTTTCATTTATCATATGCATGAGTATTAGTATGTTTAAAACTTTGTTAAATAAAGTTCAACTCATTGCTATGCAGTATTTGCTAATGAGGACAGCTAGTTTTAGAGTGAGGCCTGGGGTGGCTGTGGAAGTTCACTGGCACTGTGGGACCATGCACATGCAGCTCTGCTTGTTTCTCTGATTTTCATGAGATTTCTGTAAATCGCCATGAGCGTGGCATGTTAGCATATCCCACTGAGATTTACTGGTGAATCAGCACAAATCAAACATATACTGTATGCTGTGCACGTCTGTCATGGACAGTTTAATCATTGTTGGTTTTGTTTGTAGCTGATGTGTAACAGGAAAGCTGTGCCTCATTTCAGATAATCAGATGTAATTTGCATCAGCATCAACTCATCAAAGACAAGGATAAATTACTCTGGTAATTATAAAAAGATCATTACAAAGGGTAACAACCGAACAGCATATTTGCATACTTGCAGTGTTTCGAATCCAGGAATGAAGGCCTGAAACCGTCGGTACCTCAAAGTTGCATCCATACGCCATCTGCTGGTAAACATGATAATTGTTTTTGAATATTTATAGACAGTGTTCGCTTCAGAACGTGTCACGAGCAAAACATTTTTTTTGTAATCATTTAATGGAGATTCAACCTTTTCAGACATTTTTCCCCCCCTAGTTTTGACAGTATATATATATATAATTATAATAATAAATTTTTCTTCAGTTTTATGAATTAAATACGAGACTATATGGGAAAGCCTATATAGGCATATACTTTTAAAAATGCACTTAAAATTAACTAAATGAAAAGTTGAGTGTAAAACTAAAGTGGAGTAGTCAGAAACGTTTAAATTGTTATGCTGTCAAATTTGATTTGCAAAATAAGAAGACATTTTTAGGATTCTGGATTTGGTTTTGAGCTTTGGAAGCCATTGCAACAACAAACAGCAAAAGTGCTTTCTTATGATTTCATGAAGATTTCAGAATTCTTTTTCCAATTTCTACAGTATATTTTTTTGCAGTTTTATGAATTACACATGAAGGCTATGGAATAGCCTATTTATAGTTTAAAAAATAAATTTTCACATAGCATCAAGTATTTAAAATGAACTAGTGCAGAAAAAGATGGGGAAAAAATGTAGCGATCATGTGAAACCACCAATTGTAAAAAACAAACAAAAATTATATATATAGGTGCATCTCAATAAATTAGAATGTCGTGGAAAAGTTCATTTATTTCAGTAATTCAACTCAAATTGTGAAACTCGTGTATTAAATAAATTCAATGCACACAGACTGAAGTAGTTTAAGTCTTTGGTTCTTTTAATTGTGATGATTTTGGCTCACATTTAACAAAACCCCACCAATTCAGTATCTCAACAAATTAGAATACTTCATAAGACCAATAAAAAAACATTTTTAGTGAATTGTTGGCCTTCTGGAAAGTATGTTCATTTACTGTACATGTACTCAATACTTGGTAGGGGCTCCTTTTGCTTTAATTACTGCATCAGTGCGGCATGGCATGGAGGTGATCAGTTTGTGGCACTGCTGAGGTGGTATGGAAGCCCAGGTTTCTTTGACAGTGGCCTTCAGCTCATCTGCATTTTTTGGTCTCTTGTTTCTCATTTTCCTCTTGACAATACCCCATAGATTCTCTATGGGGTTCAGGTCTGGTGAGTTTGCTGGCCAGTCAAGCACACCAACACCATGGTCATTTAACCAACTTTTGGTGCTTTTGGCAGTGTGGGCAGGTGCCAAATCCTGCTGGAAAATGAAATCAGCATCTTCAAAAAGCTGAAGGAGAAGGAAGCATGAAGTGCTCCAAAATTTCTTGGTAAACGGGTGCAGTGACGTTGGTTTTCAAAAAACACAATGGACCAACACCAGCAGATGACATTGCACCTCAAATCATCACAGACTGTGGAAACTTAACACTGGACTTCAAGCAACTTGGGCTATGAGCTTCTCCACCCTTCCTCCAGACTCTAGGACCTTGGTTTCCAAATGAAATACAAAACTTGCTCTCATCTGAAAAGAGGACTTTGGACCACTGGGCAACAGTCCAGTTCTTCTTCTCCTTAGCCCAGGTAAGACGCATCTGATGTTGCCTGTGGTTCAGGAGTGGTTTAACAAGAGGAATACGACAACTGTAGTCAAATTCCTTGACACGTCTGTGTGTGGTGGTTCTTGATGCCTTGACCCCAGCCTCAGTCCATTCCTTTTGAAGTTCACTCAAATTCTTGAATCTATTTTGCTTGACAATCCTCATAAGGCTGCGGTTCTCTCGGTTGGTTGTGCGTCTTTTTCTTCCACACTTTTTCCTTCCACTCAACTTTCTGTTAACATGCTTGGATACAGCACTCTGTGAACAGCCAGCTTCTTTGGCAATGAATGTTTGTGGCTTACCCTCCTTGTGAAGGGTGTCAATGATTGTCTTCTGGACAACTGTCAGATCAGCAGTCTTCCCCATGATTGTGTAGCCCAGTGAACCAAACTGAGAGACCATTTTGAAGGCTCAGGAAACCTTTTGCAGGTGTTTTGAGTTGATTAGCTGATTGGCATGTCACCATATTCTAATTTGTTGAGATAGTGAATTGGTGGGTTTTTGTTAAATGTGAGCCAAAATCATCACAATTAAAAGAACCAAAGACTTAAACTACTTCAGTCTGTGTGCACTGAATTTATTTAATAAACGAGTTTCACAATTTGAGTTGAATTACTGAAATAAATGAACTTTTCCACGACATTCTAATTTATTGAGATGCACCTGTGTATATATATGTATGTATATATACCAATTTGAACCTAAAATATGGATGGTGATTAAAATAAGTTCAAAGACATATATGCCTAATGAACTCTGCATATAGATATGTAAATATTTTAAGATGAGCTTTAATATCAATTATATTATTTTATAGGACTTTAATATGAGCAACCGTACAATGAGTGCTATGCAGATCATTTCAATAGTTTATTTCTACCATACACAAACTGTACAACACAGCGCAGTACTGCTTATGAAATTTTAAAAGTGTAAGGAAATCCTGATATACAAACTACTTGAACTTAAAAAATAAATAAAACAGAAACAAACTAAATCATTTACAGTACTGTGTATTATACTATTTTTTTTCTTTTACACAAAAAAAATCCATATATCACATTACAAAACATCAAATACAAAAAGAAAAAAATAAATATTCCTCACAAAACTTCCTGAGCAAACAATCTGTGGTTTATAAATTAAAAATTAGGAATTACAAATCATTTAAACAGAATTAATCATACAGTAATTTAGGATTTTAACAAACAAAATTGATTTGTTTTATTGAGAATACAATTCATTATGCTCATTTGGTCAGATAATATAGTGTTTTATTCCCTCTGAATGACCTGCAACTAAACTATTTTTGACATCCTCAATGGACAACGTAAATCTAAGGTTAAACTCCTTCAGTGTGCTAATTAACCTGCACCGATCACGCATGTGACCCGCTCTAAATAAACACTAAATAACAGAATAAAAGTGCAAAAGGGTACGTTTAGTGATAGAGAAAGCTTTAAAAGTGCTGCGACGAGGCCGTTTGTGATCGTAACACAGCAATAACAGCACTCAGATCTGCTGAGGTGACCTCGGCCGTGCATTTAAACACAAAATCAAGTGGTACAGATCCAGTCATAATGGAAAGATTACTCCCTATTGCCGTAAATCATCCATTTTTATATTTTAGTGGCTTGAAGACATGAAGTGCTTTGAGAAAATATCATCCATAAAAGCTATTTGAGAGCCCACTGTTGTTTGTCGCACAAAAGAAGCCAAAGGTTGAGGAGTTCAGTCTCACAGAAAAGAATGAAAACCTTAGTGCCTGATCATAAAACAAGAATATTTTTTTTTTACAAGAATATCGTTACATACTTAAAATGCCGTATAAACAGTAGGTAAACAGAGTTTAGAGGCTTTTCATTCAGAAAATAAATATACTGCAGAATAAAATGAATCACCATTCACGTAATACTGCTCTACCACAAAACAGATCATATTCCATGTACTCATTTACATTTAGGCACATATATGCACACACGGATGTGCACACCAAAGGCAGTTCATATGAACAGAAATGGAAATCATTTTGTGTGTGTGTGGATGATTTGATTTTTGCTCACTGTACAGCCGTTACTCAGTTACTCGGATAAAATGTTTTTCTTTTTGCTCACTTATTAGAATTTATGCATGAAAGCAAATGATATCATTTCAGTGACATACATTAACTACATTTAAAAAAAATAATAAGTCAGGGATGCATACAGTACGGTTCAGCTGCTCACCAACAGGTAGCGCAAGTGGACTATTCTTACATTTGACATCAGTTATGAAGAAAAAGTCATCACAAATGCCTGTGATATATTTTGAACGACTAAAACGCCCAGTTATTGTACAACAAATGCAACATAAAATTCACAATATGTAAGACTGGCCTTGCATTTTGGAGTTGCAGCAAAAAATGATAGCAATAAATAAATAAATCAATAAATAAGATTACTGTGAGATAAATAGTACCGATGAATAAAGATAATATGTAGCAATAATATAATAACACACGAAAGAACAATACGGAATAAATTCAAGCAAACCATAGGAAATAAATAAGTGCAAAAGGAGGTAAAATCTCACTTAAAGGAACATTGAGCTGTAAAAATGTGGCTGGTATTTTTCAGTGCAATGCATTTATCATGGAATGGAGTTACTTTTTTTATTTTATTTTTTATTAATCGAGACGTATCTCGCACAGATGACAAAGCCAGCCCTCTGCGGACAATCAAACGGTTGTGAACGAGAGTTTGGCTTTATACGTGAATGCCCTTGATGGCCTGTCTGATGCTGTCCAGTAAGGCTTTGCATTCAGGTGAATACTCCTGCTCTGAATTGTTGTACATATCCGTCAACGTGTTCACATATGCTTCGAAGTTCTGTTCATTTATCGGACCCTGAAACACATTAAAGAACATTGCATTCATTAACTCTGAAATGCATGTTTCATAATGTCTTTAAAATGCATTCAACCCTTACAAACATGCAATTTTAACTATAGTTTACCTCAAAATACCATAAATACTCCAGTTGTTGTTGCTACAGTAAAATCGTATTAAATTAAATTAGCCACTCATGTGGCTAATAAATTGTCTTGTTTTAATGACAGTAGCGGCTAATACCAAGTTACCACAGTTTTACTGTAGTAACTACGGTACTTTGTTAGAAAATACACTGTAAAATATCAAACGCTCAGTTGGTACCTTAAAGGAAATATTTAGAGCTGATAAAAATGACTTTCATTAGTGTATCTAATTTATTCAGTTTGATTTGGCCCTATTAAATAATCTTTTTAATATTAAATATTATTATTTTAGTTAATGCATTAACTAACATTAACAATGAGCATTTGTTACAGTATTTTTTAATCTTTGTTAAAGCTATAACTTTTGTTTCATTTTGGAATTAACTAGATTATTAATTGCTTTAGAATTATTTTTTTATTGTTAGTTCACGGTAGCTAATGTAGTTACCTAATATTAACACGGGGTTTTTGTGGGTCAATCACAAATTAAGGCCTTAAAAGTTGCATGCACTGCACTAACTAAATAAAAAAAATACATACATGCATAATGTCTTGTTACATTTACTTGAAATGCAATGTGAACAAAGTTCAAGTCTTGTTTTCTGAGAAATTGAACAAGTTTAAGTGATTTTATGCTTTAAACAATAAAAATAGCTCTCAATATGGTATGAAAACTATTATTTTCTTTACTTCGTCTTAAAAAAATCTTTAAAAAGTCTTACGTTGGCCTAAAACCTGCAGAAACTCTGTAATTAATGAAACCTTCTAAGTGGAGTATTACCATATTTTTAAAGTATTATGTTCCTTGAAAACCTGATTTTGTTTTTACAGTATAGTCAGTTACCATAATCAAATTTTGTAAGGGACCTCTGTGACGAGAGGGGCAGGCCGAGAGCCGTGGGAACGGAGTGAGGCCGGTGGAGTAAATGCTAATGCACGACACCTGCGCCACTCACCGGTCTCGAGTCCCACGGAGGAGCTCCGGAAAGATAAAAGGAGGAGTGACGACAGTGTTGGACGAGGGACCGGTGAGTGGCGCTGGTGTCGTGCATTAGCATTTACTCCACCGGCCTCGATCCGTTCCCACGGCTCTCGGCCCCGCCCCTCTCGTCACAACCTCATGCAGTGATTAAAACTGTAATAATATTTGTTGACCGAGATCAGGTTATGCTTTACGTGTTTATCTGTGTCAGTGTGAGGTCCGTCTCACCATTTGCGGCAGCTGGATATCTGTGAGACTGCTGATAAGTGCTTGACTGAGACGCGCTAACTCCTTCAACAGACTGTCGTTGTGCTGCTCGATTATTTTATTCTCCTCCTCAATAGTCTTCAGGTTGCACTCCATGGATGAAATCTGTTTTAAAACAGGGCAAAACAAGGTCTTTAGCTCTGAAACTACATTACCCATAATGCTCGGAGCATGACAAGGTTATTTACCTGAGTCTGGAGCTGCATCATGTCTGCTTCTATCTTCAGATTGGATTCATTTAGCTCCTTTATTTCGTGATCCAAGTGCTGCATGTCTTCATTGTTTTCAATACCTGCTCGACAGAAGACAAACCAGACAATGGTCATCTCAACTAAATTACTTGAGAAGCTGCCGCAACTTTTGAAGCTCTTTTTTTCCCTTGTCGCACACTACAATGATAATATTTAGCTTAATTTTAGCTTAATTTTATGCTGTTTCATTCATTTTAAGTGCTTAAAGTACTCACCGCTGCTGGTTTTGAGTTTGATGGTCATCATCTCCTCATCGGAGAGTTTCTTCTTGATACTCTGGGCGTTTAGTGGACATCCTGACAAACTATGAAGGGACCAAACACAAAATCTACAGATCAGTACTAGATATTTTGAGTTTTTTCTTTTTATAACTACACAAATTATAATCTAGCTTCAGAAATCATGAGTATAATATATGACCATATTTATGACCAATTTATATAAATACATATATATATAAAAAATCACATGAATCTTATTTCTGAAGTCAACCTGTATATATTTGTGGATTTAAATATTTATTTTGTATATTTATGTGAAAAAATAAACAACATTAATAATCCAGATATGCAAGCTTGATTGGAAATAAAATATTGGACATGTAATAATGATATTGGAAACTTATTGGAAATATTATAATGATAACATAGTTCAGTAATATGCATTATATATATATATATATATATATACAGTATGTGTGTGTGTATATATAATTAAAGAACAAAATACATATTTTAAATCATAAATACTGTTATCTTATTTCTGAAGTCAACCTGTATATATGTGTATATGTAATATTTGTTTTTTATATTTATGTTAACATTTTTATATTATATAATATATAGTATTATTACATTATATATAACAATATAATTAATTAATTTAATATACATTTCAATATAATATAATAAGTATTAAACAACTCTGATAACAACTTCACAGTGTTCAAGTTAGGACAAGATGACATATTATCCAGTATGTAGGTTTAAAGTTTAACATCAGAACTGAAGTTCCAGGTTATGATATAGTTTGCTCACCTCCTGTGTGTGATAAAGACGTTGTTGGCGTGACCCAAGCCGTTGCAGCCGGGCAGAGGGCAGTGTGGAAGCTCCTGTTTACAGAGCTTCCAGGAGAAGGCCGATCCGTTCACCGAGCTCTCCTTCTGCCGTTTGGTGGCGATGGGGCAACTTCCTGCGCTGCGATGAGATGTGTATTTACCTGACACGTGGCCCTGACTGTCACAACCTGCCACTGGGCACCTGGTGCACGAGAAAGCAAATATATTTTTTTATTATATATATATATATATATATTATTTATCGCATTCACAACAGGACAATGTACACTGATATCACTGCCAAATTATGTGCATCCTGGTGAAAATATTGTCACTGTCCATGAATATAGTACATAAATTAAGACATTTTTAAAAATAAAAATTAATGATCAGTGAAAATAGGATCATCAACATCAGGAGGTCTAACGAAATATTTTTTTCTTATTCATTTTATGACAAAAAACTAAATATAAAAGCAAAATATTATGCTTTTAAGCACTTAAAACTATTATAAAATAAAACTAAAATTAAAATATTTCTCAGTTAATAGTTAAAGCAGTTACTAGTGAACTTTTTAAACTGAATTTATGCAGTGCACATATATAGATTTCTGAATCTGAATTCTACTACTAAAAATGACAAAAAAAAATCACAAATTCACTAAAACCTTTTTTTTTAATTTTAATTAGATAATATTATAATTATATTATTATTATTATTAATTATATTTTATATTTTCAGTTTTTATTGAATTTTAGTTGAAGTTTTATATATATATATATATATATATATATATATATAT